GCTGATGAAACTCAAGCAACCTGCGATCACGGCGTCGAAAACAGATAAATGGCATTATTGTAGAAGTGACTTGCTTCTACACTCTGTTCAAAATGAGAGTAACCTCGCTTTGCGCATGGGACGTGCCTAAGGCAGGGCTAGAACCACTAGAACGTCCAAACCCTCACTTACCCACCTACGTTTTTCTCCGTCGTACCCTCTGCTCTCTGTCTATGCGCAGAACGGACGAGAATCGGTTCGAGAGCGAGGTTACTCTTATTTTGAACGACGTATACAATAAATTTTTTCGCGGTATGGCACAGCTCCCGGTATCCCCTATAGTTTATTTTACATTGGCAATATGTAATAAATATCTTTATTATTCATATGAAGTATCGTATTTTTTACACTGCTTAGGCAGTACCTAATGCAGTTCATCCACGACGTAGTAGGGTGAAAAAAATTTATTCCATATTTTCGACTTATTTTCTCATGTAGAATCACCCCCTCCACGGTTGTACCATCAATACTGGGACACCCTGTACACATTACCTAAGTAAAGTATTGCGATGCCCGGTTTGCTCCAATTCCTCGAAACTAGGAGCAAATATTGGGGCATCATTTAAGGATCGTCGTTGCGTGGAAACAGAACTTTATTTGACAGAGATTTTGACGTTACGTGACGTGCGCATGGTAAAACAGAGAATGAACACGGAAATGGAGCAAATAGGGCTATTTAAGGGTTCTGGGAAGATGGACTTTGGGTTGTGACTATGCAGGAGAGTTGGAAGGTGAAGAGTCCAGTATGAGTAATGCTGAAAGCAGGTGACTAGTTGTAAATTCAGATAAAACTAAGGACTAAGAAGGAAAATATTTGAGGGTGTAACAGTATGAAATAATATATTTTAATAGGTACGCATGCGAACGAAAATCATTTTAAATCTCAGTTTAGAAGAGAAATAATAAGCATCGTTATTAACATCTGTTGGTTTTAACTGCTATTTTTTATTTCAAGAAAGCTTCACCCTGTCGTTTGAACATCGAATGCATCATGATCGCTCGAGTAATACGGCATAATCTGCGTCATTATGATCATATCACGCATTTATAAATCTTTATACGAGCTCGTGAACACGCGACACGTGTCGCTGTGTATTTGGATTATCGTGGATAATCGTTCATATCATTCACCTTTAAACAAATCGCGCGAATCTCTACGACGACGATTCGATAATTAACATCGATTATTTCATTATTTGTCCGCCATCGTTTCGTACCTAACCTCTTTTCTCAGCTCCCAATTAACGGTTTCCCGAGCCTAAATGAATCGAGAGCCGAGGATTAAAACGTGAGATGTTTTAACGGGAGACAAAAAAGAAGGGTGAAGGAAAAGGGAGCTATCAATTTTCGCGACAACTTCGACATTGAGGTTTCTCGCGAATAATTAGCCCAAGCAATTCGCCGACACCTCGTAAACGCGCCTCTTTAAACTGCGTTAAGGGATGAATTTTTAAGGGTAGAAAACTTTCAGACTCCCTATCGCAATATTAAGCAAATTTTTCATTTTTAAATGGAAAACTTTCAAATTCTCAAATTTTTAAATAGTGAAGTTTCAAATTTTTAAATGGAAAGATTTCGAATTTCTTAATTTTTAGATGGAAAATTTCCCGTGTCCAAAAATACTGAAAAGTGAAATATCTGCCTCTGGTCCCAAAGGACTCAAGGAAGGAGGAGGACAGAGGAAGTTCTGGAAATATCGTCAAAGAGCGTAAATACATCATAACCACGCAATTTATTTCGCTTAGAGGCTGCGGCGTTTTTTTCTTTTACCAATAAACATTCATTCCAGAAAAAATAAAATATACCAAAAAAAAAAAAAAATCAGCTTAATATACCTTTTCCACAAAATCTTCTCAAACCGATTACTTTCAATTTCGACAAAAATAAACTCACAAATCCGGTATACGCGAATTTTATACACCCGGTAACATCGTACAGTTCGAAATCCAGCTCCGAAACTATCAAAAAACGGTCTATAAAATTCTCCACTAATTCCATATAGCAGTCCACGTGAAACGCCATTCTCGGTGTACGCGAGAATAACCACGGTTTAATCGCTACAAAAAGAGAGAAATAAAAAAATACGACAACGTGTATATATACGACGATCGGGCAGATACAACAATATCCACGCGGTTATGGAAATCGGCGGCGCCGCGAAAGTTTAAATATGTAGTCGCGATACGACCCCTTAATTAAAGCAATTTTAACTTTAATTCGATTCCCTCTGGTTACCTTCTCACGGTACGCATGTACATACGTACGTACGTAACAATCTATTGTAAATTCATCGTTCAACGCGTTTATTTTTCTCTCTTTTCCTCTCCCTTTAGCGGTTGGAAAAAAAAAATAAAAAAAGAGAAATGATTCGAAAAAAATAAATAAAAACTCTCGTCGTCTGATTCGACCCAGAAATCAATTCGAGCCTATCTTGTAATTTATATATCGGGAAATGAAACTCGCCCCGGTGGTTCCGTGTCATTGCATTAAATACAGAGAGAGAGAGAAAGAGAGAGAGAGAAGGGGGCGAGGGAGGGAGAAAGTGAGAAGGGAGCAGAGGTTTCTGTTAATTGCAAAATACGATTTATGGGGAGACATCGAACAATTTGGCTCAACATTAATTGCTGTTCCGCCTGTTTACACGAATTTCCAAGTGGCCTTTTATTATGCGTTATATGGGTATTTGCGTTGATCCGGGCTAACTCATTAGAGGAGCTTCACGCCACGCCTTTTAACAATTCGCTGTCTTCCTGAAATCGTTGCATCCTGTTCGCGGACATTCCTTCAGGGTATAACGATCTTCCAGTTTGTCGCGTGGAAAACGAACCGTTTCATTTGGTTAATGGGACCGATTAATTATTTCTGTTAACCCCTTAACGCACCATGTTCGTGTCTCACACGTGCACAGCTAAACCTCCGATAAGTACAATTTTATTTCATTATTTTTTATCACTTTCGATATTGCGTTGTCCTTTCTATTATGGCGAAAACGTAATAACGAGAAACTTATTTCTATGCACCCAGGAGATAATTTAGAAAAAAATAAAGCTGATGATTTTGGGCGCCTCAAGTTGAGAAAAATATGAGCGTTAAGGGGTTAATATTTTTACTTTATAATTGTTAATTATAGTTGGTCTGTTGGTGTTGACCATTTTTAGAAATTTATAATAATCAATTATAGTCATTTATCTTGTCTAATGTTTTTAGAATATTGAAAGAAAAAGTTATTATATTTCGTAAGTTTGTGCTATACAAGAATAACTGATATTTGGGGTCTATCTATTTATTTATAATTTTTTTAGTACAGCTACTTGTGTTTTCGCTATTTTCTTTTTTTTTCCAATAATCTGAAAAAGAATTTTAATTGATGAATATACATAGAGGTATACCTCAGAGTGTGAATACTCAATTTATATTCTTTCGTTTCCACGTCAGAAAATTGAAAAATTCCGTTTCCCTTTCTTGCCAAAAGATTCGAAGATCTTTCAGCATTAAATATTACAGAGGAAATATTTGCTCTTAGAGAGAATATGATCTTGATGAAATAGTACTTCTACCAAACAGGAAATGAACTTTCTCCTGGTGTTTCCCGATTCTGCATTGAAAAACCGGCGATTTAGTCGCTCTTCTTTGTTAAACAGTGAAAAAAAAGACGACTTAACGCTGTAGGAAATGTTGAAAATTTTTGCCTTCGTAGAAAAATCTATTAAGAGTGATTATTTAGATGAAAAATACTGCAAACAGAAAGATTCCAGTGGAAATTTCATAAATTCCACTCTGCATCTCGTTCACCATTCTAAAGTCTGCTTTCTTTTACATCAAGTTTAAAGAGCAAAGAAAAATTATAGGAAAGTATTTCACTATTGATTATGATAATTTTCAGGATTAATTATTTCTCTAGAGAATATTCCAAATAATATTATACTTTCCCTGATATTGTTTTCGAGTTTCCACTTCTCTATAACAAGAAACTTTCGAGCTCTAAAGTTTTCTTAGCTAAAGAAATCCTCGTCAGAGTGCAAGTTATCCTCGGCAAAAGGGAACCTCGACCGAATAGTCCTCCGCGGCAAAATAACTCGAAATTTCTAACTCAAATTGTCACTTTAACACAATAAAATTTCAATTAGCGAATCCTCCACATTGGAAAAACTTTCGAATGATCCTGACACAACCCATCATTTTTTCACAATACTTCCTACAACTGAAAGTCGAACAGGCTATAAACTTAAATCTGTAGCTAATTATCACAGAACTCTGTCATTGAAATAAGAATAAAAAAACTATAAAATTTCCTTCGAAATATCGTATTCGTAACTGTTACAAAAATATCACATTTGAAATTAACATAAATTTATTTAAAAATTACTTCTTTTTATTTCCTCTAATTTCACCTCGAAAACACGTGCACATATTTGTTTAACACTCAGGTTGAATTTGATTTCAACTCTGTTCAAAACTTCGATTAATTTCAACATCTAACATAAAGTGTCCTAATATTACGTCAACTATTTACAACCACTCCTAATTAATAATCAACTATTACGTCAGCAGCTGTGAATATGTTAGCAAGTTAAAAAAGAAACTAAACTAAACTAAGATTTAATCCAGAGCTATCTTCGCGAAGAAGATCCCCTACTCCCATCCCAAATTCCCTGCATTAATCCAAGGACCCCCATGAACCATCGTTCACGTTTAAAAGTTATCAAGGAACGAACCATGGAATCACCGTGCTGGTCGTAGAGAGAATGGGGGTGGAAGGGGGGGTGGTTGGAATGGGGAATGCGAAACGAGGGGGTTGAGAAAGGCGACAAGGGGGTTGGTGCGGCACACCCCGTAGCTGGTGGAGGCGCAAGGTATAAAATCAGACGTCGGATACCTGGGGGTATTCAGTGTCGAGTAGGATCCCGTGCTCTACTCAGCATCAGCTACGTCGAACCACGAGACCAACTGCCGCCATTGCAATGAGAAATCAGCTATTTGCATTCCTGATCGTTCTAATATTTTCCACCTCTGTAAATCGTAAGTGCAACAGAAAGTGGAAGAGCGCACACCAGGTCTCGAATTTCTCTCTGTTCCGCGGTTCGTTTCCGCGCCATCGCGGCAGCCATGATACCCCGCCATTTTTCATTTTCTCTTCGATAGAAGCTTTCTTTCAAATAAAGCTTCTGCTTTTCTGTTCTATTTTATTCAGGGGTAATTATTGAGTGAAATTGCGGAAATTTTTATTTTTATTTTGTTATTCTTGTAAATTACTATGTCATTTTTGGAAGATACTTTTCAGAACAATTGTTTTTTTGTGCATTTTCTGGAAATTGGAATTTGAAAGTTTTTTTTTTCTGTAGATTGTTATTTGATTATTGGAAAACTGAAATTTATTGGGTGAAATTTGAAGATTTGTTTTTACTTTGGTTAACTTGCTCTCTTTAATTTTGGAAGAAATTTCTTTCTGTTCCATTATTTTCGCTTTTTTTCTGTAGATTGTTATTTGATTATTGGGAGAACGGTATCGGTGATCAATCTCCTGCCACTCCATTCTCATTTTCGCTTCTCTTTTTTAATTATTGGAAGCCAGAAATCTATTAATAATTCGTGGAAGTAGGTAAGTGAAACTGTGATACAGTTCTCTACCTACTGCCTTGGGATCACTTTATTTACTCTTCAATCATTTTCTTAGTTATTTATCTATTTAATTCTTTTCTAATTTATTTCAATTATTTGAGGAGATTTATGCTGGATTTGTAGAACTGCAAAAAAAAAATGGAAATATCGTTTCTCATTGAATTACATGTTCCAACTAATTCTTTTTCAGTATCCCAATGCCAACATGGTCAACAGCTCGTGTCAAACAGAGGCAAGACACTCGCATGAGTATTTTTTTCACAAAAATGTTATAACTCGATCCACTGTTCGTTTTAGGACATTCGTTAATGGGAATCGAATCTTTTTCTCGATACCGGCTTCGCAGTTATTGTTTCATTGATACTGTTACTTGATGTTTCGCTGGTGTGTTCGACAGTGATTTTGAACAGAGCTTTCCATTCCACACTTGTCTCTTCGATTACTGTTTTTTATGCCTGAACAAGGTTATTTTTTAATTCTGCATGTTTTCGAACAGTTTTCGCCACATTCATGCAACCTACATACTATTAAAAAACTATGTTGCACGAGAGAAAAACAGAACGTTCAACCAAATCCACAAGTCACCAAATACACAGACACAACACAGTGAAAGAAATTCTCCGCCGAGTGGAGCGAAAGTATTTGAAAAACTTTTATTTCTTTCAGCACTAAATAACAAACCTCGCGCGTGAATGGTCAATAAACAACAAACGTTAAAAATAAGGGAGAAAAACATTCTCCATTTTTTATTACTCTTTACAATTTAAAGAAACATATTTTGGTAAATTCTAACACAAATTACACCGTACGTTTTCATGATTTTTTAATTTTGTTACATTTTTCGGAAAAAAAATACATTCTCCACATTTTATTACTGTTTGTAATTTAAAGAAACATGTTTTGGTTAATTGCATCGTATTTTTCAATTTTATTTGTTGTATTTTTCTTTTTTCAAAGCGACATACTGTATAGTTTAATTTGTGATTTTACAGAGGCAGAGAAGCTTAAGACAAATGAGAGACGAGCTTCCGGTCTGATGGCCTACCCAAGGATCGGTCGATCCAATCTGATGGCCTTCCCGAGGATCGGTCGATCCGATCTGGCAACTTCTAACCTCAATTTCAACCGCCGCCATGACATGGAACCGGAACCGGATTTTCAGCTTTACAATTCGGATTTCGACTCCGCTCCGGATAAAGATTACGAAGGTGACGTATCGCCGACGATATTGAAACGTGCTTTCGCATATTTTCCCCGTGTTTCTCTATTTCACGCGTTATTTATTCTGCACAATGAACGACGGCCAATTCGACGTGGCCATTTTGTATACAGAATGTTTCATTTGAAGTTTCTTTCGCGTGCAGTTTCGATTATTTGGGAAGTAATCGCAAATCTTTCTGCTATTTTATCTATATAGTGAACCAACAAATGGTGATTATTTCGCGTTCAGTGAATTTTCCATTTTTTCTTCTTTTTAGTAAAAACTTTAATCAACTGCCCAAACAACGACATATTTTAATGATAATTTTACACAGAGAAGAAACCAAAATATACAAAATTGTGTAAAAATAAACGATAATACATGAAAAGATACAAAAATTTATATACATTTATGTAAATGTCTCACTTAGTGTAGACATTTGGTGATAAAAAAGAATCGCCCAAGATCATCTTGAATATCATTGAAGTTCAACGATTTGTGAAATTATCACCTTAAAGTGACTTCACACAGTAAAAAGAAAAATGTCAATGTCCTTAGAACGACCTTAATTCAAGATGACTTCGCGAAATTTTGTTTTTCATAATCACAAGCATGTCCTTAAACTATATGAACCCCTTTGAGCCAGTTTTTCGTACTTTTAATATCAACAGAGATAATTTAGTTGTTCAATATAAATTAAACACCCTGTATACTATCTTGAATGAATCAACTCGTACGAAACACCGAAAAATTAAGAATACCCCCTTTCACTGTATAATACGAAGTAAGGAAAACGCACCTCGAGCAAGCGTAATCGCATAAATTACCATCTGATCCGCAGATCCGCGCAATCCAGACCCAGGATTCCCTGGAAGATCGATGAACCTCAAACACACGGACAAAATTCCAAAGGAAATAGAACGGCTGATCCAAGATCTCTCGCGTTCCAAGGACTATCGACCATGGCAGAAGATCAACGAGGCCAGATTCCCCTACTCGAATTCTTTGCTGCTCACTCGAGGTACGAAACGAAAAGATACAAGTTTTTTTCTTTTTTTTTTTCTCTCTCATAATCTACTTGTGATTCGTCGTTCGGAGAGTTTAAAACGTTCACTGTCTGTTGAACCATATATAATTCAAGATAGTTTGCACAGACACTTGTTTTTTTTTTTATACAGAAAGAACTCTATGTTTGAATTGTTCTGGAAATACTTAAAAATTAGAAGTTTGAATTATTATGAAAATAATTAAAGGAGTATGTTAAACAAAAGGTCAATTTTGGCATACGACCGGAACGAAACATTTTTTACAGCATGATTCTACGCATCCTAAGGAACGAAAAATGTAATTGTCATTTTTCCCAGAAACGATGGGAAAGTTATGGAAAATGCGGTTCAAGGTAAGAGTACGACCATACTTATAAATTATATTCCGTCTCGTTTTCTTCGGATGATGGTCTGTTCGTAAATTAACCACTTAGAAACTCGTATTGTTGTACATTAGTGTTTAATAAAAACCAAAAATAATGAAAAATAATTAATGACAAATTAATCGAAACAAGGAATTCTTTGATGACACGATGCTTATATTCGAAGCAATCAGAAACCAATAGTTATTTATTCTCGAAGTGATAAAAGTTATAATAAACTATCGTAAATATAATAAAATAATCGTCATGACAAGAATACGAAACTACTTCGCGTTTGCAAAGCAACTGTTTATTCGAGTAGTAACTCTCAGAGAGTTGAGCGAAGCTCTCAAACAGTCACTCTCAGACGCAGTGTCCACTCGCGAGCAACTCGCGATAGTTTTACTCTCAAAAGGACAGTGGTTTGAATTTAAAAGGGGCGCGTCTTTTTACCGTGATCGACGTGTGTCCGCCGAGCGGCGTTGGGAGCGGCGATCGCGCATGCGCCGAGCGAAAACAAGTATGGCGTATTATATTGTATTAAGACCACGTGCGTGACGTTTGTTCTCGGTTTTGCCAATAAAGTAATATAAAAACTCCTTTATGTTTGGCTCGCAAGAAATATCACGAGTT